GGTGACGTCAAAATCTATTGAAATATTTCCACTTAATAAATTTAAAATTAAAAAATTTATTTTTAATAAATTTTAATACATTTTTTTTAATTTTAATAAATAGGGAGAAGAACCCACTCACAATCAGATAGTGTCGCTCCTAACGCTCGGCGGCGCTGGCCCTAGCGGCTGCGGCGCGCGCGGTAAGGAGAGGAAAAGAGGCGTATACCACGGAAATCGGCTGAAATGTTCAGACTAATTCCGAGCACTGATTTAGACGCTACAAAATTATCACATTATAATTTATAATTGATACATATATATGTATATTAATATTGATTATTTGGTTTTTGAAGCAACACGTTTTTGATCATCTTCGTTTAACTTCAAGGGAATCTGAAAACTTTTGATTAATTACACAAGGAAGAAAAAACTTCTTATCCCTCTTTGTTATTCAAATACAAATTTAATATTTAAATTTTTGTTAAAAATCGCTTAGTTACGATATCCACAAAGATAATAATGTATTTAATATATCGTTTTCTAACCAGCATTATTTTTGCGATGATAAACGCATCCATCGTATTGTACATGTGTCAACGCGTAAGTTATACTTTTATATATTTCTTGTATAAAAAGCGTAACATAAAAATGTCATGTATAATATATATTTTTACTGAAAAGCAATTTAAATTTATTGGATTTATATTTAAATATATTTTTAGCTGAATATAAACACATATAAAATTACATTTATTTCAAATTGTAATTTAATGGACGGATAAATTTAATTAATAAATACACATATAAAATTAATGTAAATAACATTGTAATATTTCAGTTTTTCCGTGTCATGAGAGCACATTATCAAATTATGGCCGAGGCTGAGAAGTTTAATACAATCGTAATGTATATTTTGTACTTCAATTCTTTTTAATAATTTATGCAATCAGTTAAAATCTTTACTTTCTTTATATTGTGTTAATCAATAGATTTCTGAATCGCGTGCAAGCCTCGATTATATTACCTCAAAGATATCTGAAGGAATGGATCAGGTACTTAAATTAATTAAATTATCTCTGTAATAAAAAGAACATACAATGCGATATATTTACAATTGTTTGTATAGATGAAGGAGGACATCGCCAAAGAATTGTCCATTACCGATCATTTAACGAAGCTCAGTTCGAAAATAAATCTCTTGCTGCAACGTTATTCCGAGTTGGAGGAAGGATTGATCGAGGTACATGTAAATAATGAATGACTACATTTTTTTCTTTTATTCAAGAAACAATAATAGATTTTGATAAACTTTAATAAACTTGAAATAATTCAATGTTTTGCAATAAAATAGTACAAAAACGCTGGAAAATATATTTCGAAAAATATTACGATTTGTCAAATGGAATTTCGTACACATTCAGATTTTTGTTTAAAGAAAATAAAACTATTCTTATTTATTAAATTTATTTATTATTTTTAAATTTTATTTAATTTAATTCTAACTGAGATATAAGATATAATGTCGCTGAAAATGTTTCAGTTCTTTTTATATAAAATTTCTGTGACAAGAAAAGCAAGAGAAGTTTTAGTAAAATAAATTTTTCAAACATCCATTTTTCAAACATCCATTTTTCAACAACAAAATCCATTTTTCAAACATTTGAAAAAATCATGCGTTTAAACTTTCTTATTATTTATATAATACTTAATAGACATAGAATAAAAAAATATTACTTATTCGTCAGCTGGTGCGAATGGATCATAACACAAAAAGCGTGCGAATCGAGACGCCGACTGACATCAACGAAGAAGTCAAAAGCATCCTCACAACGGCGAGAAAAAATCAATCTCAACAGCAACAATCGGACCGAATACCGAAAAAGCTACGGATATCGACGACCATATCTACAGGAGCAAAGGATTTTCAGGCGCAAAATCACGCGAGTCCGAAATGCCTCGCGCCGCAGTCATGCGATATTATTAATCTGTCGAACGTAACGACGTCTGAGAGACAAGACAAACCACGTACGTCTATTTATCCAGAAGTACAGCTGTTAAACGATCCGAGACCTGCAGCTGATGCAAAACCCATTGGTTTTCGGCCGACCTGGAAGTGCGAGGCTTAAAACGATATTGAGGTAATTTAGTTCTTTTGGTTTCTTTCTTCCATCATTTTTTGTAAAAACGCAGAAAAAAATTGTAAATGTGAAATAATTATTTAAATTGTAAAATTGTAAGAAACTATAACAAATAAACCATGGTTTGTATATTTAAAAAATTATATCGGTATAAAAAAAAAAATCGATGATCAAAAACGACGTAAAAAGGCTGTAAACGTTATATTTTCAAGAAACTGTTCCTTCTCTCATAAAAATGTTACGTAATATTAAAATATGCTAGTATTATCTATAAAAATATTTGCGAGATGGAAAACTATAAAAAAATTTCATGTTTTTCTAATCAGAATAAATAAAATAGAGAAATAGCATTTTATGATAATTCATATACTTGGATATATTTGGATATTCTTATATTTTTGGATCCATGATATCTGTAATATTTGCAATCTTTTTGTGTCATGTTCAATTGGCCAACAATTAATTATTGTTTTCTTTATTTAGATAGCACATTTTTGCAGAATGACAGTATACGAGTAGAGAGGACGAATCACGTGATACATTTTATCCGATCTCTAATCGAGCAAATTTCATCATAATGGTTCTAAAGCGTCTCGGATATTTGCAGAGATAATCGCAAAAAATATATTTTTGCCAAATTACATGCTTTGAATATTTTTACACAGAGATTCTTTTTTGAAGACAAGTTTTCTGAAAAGGATAACGATACTCCATATCGTTTATATCTCTCATCATTTTGCATCTAATCACATTGATGTAATTACATTGAGTATTTAATTTTGCGCGATATAATTTCGAGATTCATACATCGAGTAGAGTTAATATATACAATTAATTACATGTTAACAAGATGTACACGCCGTTCATATTAAATAGGATGTAAGTTTTAGCTTAATGGCTCGGCGTGTCTTAAAAAGTCGAAGACTGCAACAGCGAGAGTATGTAAGAGCTTTTGAAGTGAATCCAATTATTTCAGAGTAAATGGTGATTAAACTGTTCTGATGCATTCTAAAAATCTTCGTCTATCCAGTAAAATCTTTCATAGGACCAATCATAAAAATTTTTGATAAAATTTCATTGTTTTCTGTTAAAGATGTCTATTCTGTTTGCCTTAAATTTTGCCTGTAAAGAATATTCTAGAATTCGCGGATGCTCTACCGACTAGTTCTGCGACGCAAATATTGATTTGATTTTCGCTTGACAAAATTTTTAGCAATAGATCTTTATTTGTCGCAATATGTTTAATTTGTGTTGTTATTTCGAGATTCTTTTTTACAGCTAAAAACAATTCTTATAAAAATAAAATTTATTTGAAATTAATCAAGGTACGCAATTTGCTTTGTTTACCTATTTTTATCTTTTAAAATTTTGATTGTTAGTTCTTGTAAAATTCCTTCAATACTGGATACCTTCATGATTTTCTACCGATATCCTGCCAGTGAAATAACCGCCATTTTTCAAATTTACTTTCTAGAATTTGCGTTTTGTGAAAGTACATTCAATGACTATGTATATGAAAAAAGCAAGGATTTTGTTAAATAATTTTGTATCAACTACGGAATATTCAGTGACTTTGCTCGAAAGATAATTCGACAATTCTATTTAACATCGAGTTCAAACTTGCCTTAAAAGGCCATAAAAGAGCAGCAGTATCGAAGGAACGATTGCAATTTAATTTTCAACTGTTTTTTCCGAAATGTTATGTAAATTAAACGAGTTTTCTGAAACGGAGCAAGCGCGTGCGATGATGTTCGCGTTCTATGATGTTTCTCATGCTTGTCTCTCACTGCGCTTCTCCTTGCCATTCGCTTCGTCTCGCTATCCTCTCCCCTCGCCCCTCATATTCTGCGCTAATTAACGACGTTGCCTGTCCGCCAAATAATTATCGAGCCTCTTGACGAATCCGCTCCAGCCGACCCGATCGATCTCGTCCAAGTTTCGCTTGAAGAAGCTGTCGAACGCGTTATCGATCTCGTCAATGTTTCTCTTTGAGAACCGATCGAACACCGATCGGTCGATCTCGTCGAAATTATGAGCTGACCGTATGTTCGTTGGACCAGGTCGCCTGCAATATCAAACACATTGTGGCGAATTTGTGAATATCTCATTTATTTAATAAAATATATATAATAATTACTAATTTGTTTAAGCAAGATTTCATATAAAGTTTCATATAAAGTGCTTGTTCATATAAAATTTCATATGAAGTGCTTGTTTTAGAAATGCAATAAAATTTTAAAGAAAAAAGTAGTCAGACAAGAAAAAGTAGTTATTGCCAGAATTAATCAGACACGATGAAGGAAATATCAAGGTTTATAGTCAATCGTGAAAAACGAGATATGGATTGACATGCGATTTTTATTTTATCTTTTTCCTTCCTTCAACGAGATCGGACAAATCTAATTAAATATCTGCAACGTCCGACGTTTGTAAAAGTGCCCTTCAGGCGAAAAGTACGTCGATACGTCGACATACAGAAAATGCATTTTATCGAAACAGCGACGGTTTCGGACATTTGAAGCGTACTACTCTGCTCTTTCCTCTTTAATCCCCTTTCAACCGTTTGTTTTGTAAAATTGCAACCAGCATGTATCCAATTCTAACTGGACTGTTTTCTTTTATTACAACGAGGTAGGGTAATGTAACGAAATATTCTGAGCGGTATCCGTCACCCGGCACTCGAGAAGAGAAAGGAAAATTCGAGTTTGCGTTTGCAGTAGAGTTATTGATGGAAATACGATGAAAAATGCGAATATATCGAATTTAAAAAGGAAACTCATCTCTTTATACATGATCGTTTAATAAATGACACGCTTTTAACGTTGAAATAAATAGAGAAATACATATCAAAATTGATGAAGCCGCTAGGGAAGAGATAAAATACGCGAGAAATTGTATGTAAGGTAAACAATTGGCAACATGATGGTTATTTTTATTTCGTTGAATGCATACCGTTGAATGGATAGCGATCGCTTTGCGATTCCCTTGAAAATAAAGTCCAGCAGTAAAACTAACATTTATATGCGCAGAACGGAACCCAAGTAAATGTTTCCATTCAACAAGCGGCTCAACGAGTAATTTCTGAATAAATTGAAACGTTCTTTATCTCGTTATAGCAAGAGATTATGCTTTTAAAAGTGCTTTTAAAATCTCCTTAACGTACTTTTTTTGTTAATGATAATAGAAGTGTGTAAATTAAGTTGGCACATCGGGTTCGTATTAATTCGCGATGCAAATTCTAATTAAGTTTCATGTTAAGCTCTAGTTAATTTATCGCATAAATTCGAATTACATTCGCATTGTGTACTTTGGTTAAATAGTTTCCCTGTCGAGTTATTAACTCAATTTTCCAGTCCGATCTATATTATTATTATGATGAACCTTGGAATTGATTTTCGGCGCGGTATATTCTCGCTATCGCATACAACCATTAATATAAAAAAAGGAAAATAGGGACTATATATCGTAGCTACTTGATCTGTTTCAATACTTAACGAAAAATGTGTCGCTTATAAATTTATTTAATGCGATATGAGAACTGTTTGTCTAAATAAATCTGCGTTTCGCCAGAAATATCGAGCGCATGTAACGATAATAACTTACCTGAAAGATGAGAGCCTCTTGCTTTCACCAAAGGTTGTTCCAGCCAACGAATCCAACACTCGACGCGCTTGCCGCAGCGAATGACCGCCACCGACACCATCTAAATTGCGACCCGCACCTTGAACATTCCATAAAGCTGTGCTATGTCTGCGCTGATTCTATTGAAGAACTAAATAATAATATTATAGAATTATATAATTATAAAATATGTGGGAAAAGTATCTCGATGAATGGATGTCAGATTAACAAGAACAGATACAGTTTGCAGATACAATTTATTATCTCTCCTGATCCATTTGATAAGCGATGATAAAAAACGATACAATGTTAATGCGTTCACTTATCCTTTACTTCAAAAATCAACTGGTTGTTCGATGATGGAATATGACAAACCGATACACTCGTTATTCATTTAATGGATCGAATCTATTGCAATTATTTGAGAAACTTTTTTCCAAAAGAGACGTATGAATACTATATTTAAAAAACAATTGAGAGAAGTATTAATAAAAAATATTTAATCAATATGATAATATATCATAAAACATCTTTTAATTTTATATTTTAAACATCATATTGCAAACATTTACATTGTAAACATTTTAACCTGCGACCATTATTAATGTATCTCTATTGTTATAAAGTACGGAAATATGAAATAATATATCGGCAAAAATTTTTTCGGAATGATAATGTGTTTTAAATTTTTCGTATAGTTTTTTCTCCAATTTATGATTAACTTATGCGATTTGTTTAGTCTCAATTAAATCAGAGCTGCATTTCGCGGATGTGTGTTTATTAAATACGATCGATCCATTCTAATCCTTCATATATGGTATAGCGTGCGTATCGGATAATTAGAAATCGGAAATAATCATGTTTGATGCTAAAATCAATATAGAAGCCCTTTTCCGTATTTAATATAATCACTTTTCCTATATTTTTTTTTCTTGTTTTGCGTAGATCCCTTTGGATCCATTTTGATCAAGCATTGCAAAATCATCCAAGCTTCTCACGAGATTTCCACCGCCAATCTGATCCAAGTTTCGCAGAAGATTCCCGCCTCCAATCTGATCCAAGTTTCGCAGAAGATTCCCGCCTCCGATCTGATCTAAGTTTCTCAGAAGATTTCCGCCTCCGATCTGGTCCAGATTCCGCGAAAAGTGCAGCTTCTCGAAGCCGCCCGCGGGCTGATCAATGCGCTGTTTTGTTTTTACGTTCGAGTAATCGGGGCTTCTAACCAGATTTCCACCGCCGATCTGATCCAGATTTCTCACCAGATGCCCGCCGCCGATCTGGTCTAGATTCCTCACGAGATGCCCGCCGCCGATTTGGTCCAAATTTCTGACCAGATGTCCGCCGCCGATCTGGTCTAAGTTTCTCACTAAATGCCCACCGCCGATCTGGTCTAAATTTCTCACGAGATGCCCGCCGCCGATTTGGTCTAAATTTTTCACAATTCGCCTGTCGCCCTCACGTGCGTTTTTCCAGACATCGCCATCGGTAAGTTGATTCGTGAATGCTTGATCGACATTTGAATCCAAGCCATATAGACGATTTATTGCGTCTATTATTGCTCCGGAATTAATCGCAGAATTGAGGATGTTTGCGTCACGAAATCGATCGATAAAAAATCCGTCCCGGCCAATTACGTCGAGTATCTGCCTGTCATCGGCAGAATTTACATTTTGACTCGAGCGATCCTTTTTTTCGTCTAACAAACGTCTAAGTTGCTCATCGGTATTTCTTACGAGATGTCCGCCGCCGATTTGATCTAAATTCCGTTTTGCGTTCTGGTGCGTTCCTACAATATCAAAAGATCATATCAAATTAGTGAAACTCTCTTCGGAGTTTGAAATCGATATCGTTTGTGAATAAATGCAGTTTTCGACACAAATATTTATTAGACCGATAATTATATTAAGATATTTATATCATATTAAATAAACTAATGACAGAGTTTTAATAAACGTAATTATAAATAGCCATAAATATATATAAATGTGAGATATTAATTTCATGTCGAAATCTAAATTAATCGAGATTGCATGTTATGAGTTTCAATTTTCGATTTATAACATACGATATCAATTTACAGTTATGACATGCAACTACGTCGTGTTTTGTAAATTAACATGCTTGAAATACTAAATGTTTAATTTGGCTATAGTTCCTTTCAACCCACTGTAATTTATTTCTTTCTACAAAAACACTATGCTGTAAACTAAAAATATTGCTTATATATAGATATAATAAATGCATGCAGATCATTTATCAACTCATAAGTACTCATAAAATCTTTTAATCGCCATTGAAAAAAAAAATCTACTATAAATATAACAAATATACTATAATATAAAAATAATAGTATACCATAATGTAAAAATAATATACTATAATATAAAAATGTAATATAAATTTATAGGTTTCTCGATTTTTTCGCCATGCTATTTTATGTAATAACACATGCAGACTACTTGTGCGTGTTATTAATATCATTGCAGAACTCTGTGAGGCAAGAATATAATTGGATAATTTGGCTAAAAGTTGCAGGCAAACTCATGTTGGTAACTACAAAATCATGCGAAGCAAATATTGTCGATAACATGCGCAAATAGGTGACATTAGCGGATTTTCACACCTAAACTGTCATCACGCTTACCTCCCATTTATGTCGGCTGTCAATTTTATCGACAATCTGCAAATACGCGCGCGGCGATGTGTCGGAACATTTTACGCATAACAATAATCCACGAGTTTGACACTCAAGTTCAATGTTTTCTTCTCACAATAAGCTAATTGCCAAGTATAAATTAAGCTTGGTCATTCTACGTAAATTTCTTATTCACGACCATCATTTTCAGACCGAAGCACCAGACAGAAAATGCGCGTTAAATAAATAATAAACGACACGATCTAACGTGAAAAGGCACTCCATGAAAAATGTGCGCAACAAAGAGAAGATAAAGTCGAGAAGACTGAAATGACAATGTGAATTAATGATTGTATGTATCAGTACAAATTATTAATTTCAGAGCAACAACATGTAGCTACACGTCGCATAAATATTTTATTGCTATTGAGCTAGACACTAATTATTAATAATGTTCCTAAATACTGTCCAAAGAAAGAAAGGAAAGCAGAACATTTGTTAATTAATATGTATCCCCAATTAAATCTTTAATTAAGAAAAACAATTGTTAGAAAAACATATTGCGTATAATATCACAGAATACTTTTAAACAAAAAAATAAATATCTATATACTAAATATTTTTTCCCACAGGTGTTTACTTTTATTATAATAAATATTCTTTTTAAAAAAATATTTATGCAATTACTATTTCTTGTTTAAAATATTGCAATTGTTTTGCAAGCGTTGACTTGTATTATTTTGTAAATTAACGATAGATATTGCGCGTGTTTGCTTTGCAATGCCAATGCTTCTTTATACATTTAAAAAATTAATTGATATAAATTTAATTATATTGTTACAGTCACAAATTTATTTTTATATGTTCATTTCTCGCGATCTATTTTTCCAAATTAACCAGAACGTCTTGCAGGGATGATTTTACGATGTTTGAATTGCTGATCGTTAATGCCTTAATTGAATCATAAAACGTAGTCAGAAGAATTTTAAAGCAAACGCCGTAAAACCATGTTTTTGCACATTATCTATGCATTAGGTGCATTTAAATATGCTCTACGACCCATTTATTATTCACTTTTAAAAGCTCAGTTCCGCAAGACAGGTTGATCGGTTGATACGACGTGATCAGATGTTCCATTAATCATAAACTAATATCGCGCTATCTAAAATAACATGCAAAAAATTTTGTAACAAAAATTTTAATTCTACAATATAAGTTAAATCTAACAGAAAATATGTTTCAAATATTAAACATTTTAATTATACTAAAATTTTACACATTTTAATTATATTAAATGTACATTTTATATTCCATGTGCATTCAGAATTCCATTGTTTTAATTTTTCCATTTAAATTTTTTTTTAATGTAAATTTTTGCATAGCTAAAATATATAAAAATTAATTTCTTCTTTTCTTGGAAAGTATCTATTAAAACTATAAATACGCAACGATTAAAAATGTTTAGACTGTATCTTATCTATAATTATTTCTGTGAAACAAAGTGTCCAATAATCAATAATAGCAAAACTTCCTTTCTTCTTTCAAGAAACTCTTCTTCTGATATTTCAACATACTCCGATTAAACGATCAGACACAACTCGGTCAAGACTCTTCAAAGTAATAAACCGAGCTGAATAATGTAAGCTTAGTGGATATATGCGCGCTTAATTATCAAACTTTATCCTACTATATAATTTTGATAATAGGCCGGATAACATACATAGAAGTGATACATCAAAGGGCAAAGGATTATGGTTTACGTAAAGTAGCCTCGCTACGGTATCGATCACGCATTGTTCTTACTCTCCTGGGACAATACACAATTCACTATAATTAGACACCGCGTACACGCTTGTACGTGTTTAAGATAAAAGATAAAGTGGCGAATTAACTAACGCGTCGATCGCGTGTATTTGCATACAGTTCTCAACGATAAAACAGTTTATCCACCAAATGTAAGACGATTTGTGTGTTTTTCGGCTTTACTCGCGTTTGTTGATCCCTGTCGCGCGATAACGCAACAGAGATTAGTCACAATTTGTTCACTAATCTGTCTCCAATATGCTTCATTCAAATATATACGATACAACTGATTCTATTGAGTTGTGTAACAAATATCATCAATAAAAAATACGAAATTACTTTTATTACACAACTCAATACAATTCAATTAAAGCGCGCATGTTGATATCTCTTTATAATTCTGTTTCAAATGTAGTAATCAATTTTACATACAAATTAATTTTTCGGTAGCATTAATATAAAACAATATTAATAATTAAAAACAATTCTTAATAAGTTCGTATTAAAAAAACAGATAGAAATGAGAGGAAGATCAAAGAGAGTCTTTCTATGTATATCAAGTATTTAAAAATAACATAAAGCGTAAAAAACAAGTTAATTAAAGACAATATATGCGTACAATAATGTCAATAATGCGTCCATGAATTTAATTAAATATTTACACATGTACACATTTATCTTGTCTGCTTTAAATGTTACAAGCTTTAATTATCTCGCAATGACGGTTGATTTCATATAATTAGCATTTATATTCTAAAAATTAATATTTGCTACAACTTGTTCGTCAGATATATATATTTTTTAATAAAAGTAATTTTTCAGTGAATACTTACTGCGATCTTCCCAGTATCTTGCCAGGAGTTCCGCCAACGCCGGCGACCCGTAGTCGTCTCGTTGCACCGTACTCGATCCACCGTGTAACTGGAAACGAGTGAAACTTGCTAATTGCAGCCATAGGCATTTATGTACTTCCGTTATCATTCCAACCGACAAAGCTATAGCCATAGGCATCTCGCTTTCGTTATAAAACATTACGTTGTTTGCAAACTACTATATATTTCGTGCTATTTATATATAAATATTTTTTAATTATCAAAAAATAAATGTAGCTCGATTTTAAAATTAAATCTGAAAATGCATTTTAACTTTGTTAGCATCTCTGAAGAAGCAGAAATATGACACAAAGCAAAATTTTTTTAAATTTAAATTTAACTTAAGAAGAAAAATATACAAATTGTATATTTTTAAAATGGAAAAAAAAAAAATTACTAAGTAAACGTAGTCAATAAAATCAAACATCTAATTATATTAATCAAATAAACGTCATACGCGTTTCATATTTCCACCTATCGTTTTATATATTTGCAGTGCAAAGAAATCAATTTATCTCTCCAGTTAAAATTGCAGAATGCATCGTTGTTTTATTCAAATATTGCGAGTTTACGCGCTAACAAACTCGATATATAGATTGAAATCTAAAATAATGAACTATTTATTCGCGGCAAAAGTTTAATTATTCATTCAACTCTGTCTGCCCTTTTATCATCGGTAGAATCGGACAAGCGGCGGTATCCGAGGTGAAAAAAAATGGACTTCCGAGCATGCATAATGCAAAGTTTAAGATCACGTGTGCACACGAACCACGTGTTAAACTTGTTCTCGGCGTGACGACAGCACGTGCTCGCTGTCGTTATCGCGCGTAGTCTATCGAGCTTGCAACGAGGTTGTGGGTTACATTATGCTAATTAGAACTTCATTGGCCGCACGGTACTCGACCTTATACTGCGGATCGAACTTTGCATTTTCTTCTCTCGCGCGATAAATGTTAGAAATTCCCAGCGGAGATATTCTGCAGTTTCAACCAAATTAAAAATGCATTCTCGCGTTCGACGTTTCTACGGCTGCACGCATTCCATGAATACTAACTCTTTGGTTTCCGTATTATTTTCTCGCTTTTATGACAAGCAGTCTGCGATAACGGTTCTTTATAATTCAATATAACATTTTTTCCTCGTAAATTTATTATGCTTTACATACCGCAGAATTGAAACTTATATTGCATCAGTAAAGGTAATGCATTCAGGATTTATTGAAAATTTTCTGAAAATTATCAAATTGTCTTAATATCGCGCTGTCTGTTAAAGTTCATTTTATCAAATAAACATAAAAAATTTCACCTTGTTTTAATATTTTAATTTTATTATAAGTTTTATGAAGAATTTATCTGACCGATTTTATAAAAATTACGTTTATGCTTATAATTGCTTCATTGAATAATAATATTGCCCTTTGCAAGACTCAAAGTAAAAGTTTTAATTTCTCTAAGTCGACCCTGAATGAATTTCTCTGTGAGCTACAGATCGATATATTGCAGCTGCTACAACCATTTTGTCATTACATCATTTACCTAATTATCACGGCCAATTATTCTACAGGGGTTAAGGCCAACGGATTCATATCGGAAATCTCACTTCTAGTCGACAAATCACCCACTTTTCTCATTCCAGTTGAAGAAAAGCATTTTTCCATTCCCAGACCTTATCGATCGTTCGTGACATTCGCGGACATCCAATGAAAATTGGAAATTTTGTGTCTACATAACACGAACAATTGATATTGCTTTCTTTTTTTTCTTCCTGGCGCATCTTAGCAGTTCAATCGAATTTTGTGAGAGAGCTTTCATAAAAGCCTCGAGGCTTTTCGGAATGGCTGCAATCTTTCGTGGTGCGCCGGAAAGTGAGCGAAGAGCAGGGAAATGAAATTCTGTATGCGTCGTAAAGCACCAAAGGGTGGAAAATTTTACAGAAATTTGATTTTGTTTTTAACACTGACGACGACGGTACAGCTTCGATCGTGTCCCGATAGAATCGCGTTTCTCATCACGCACTCATTACTTACCGTAATAGTGTAAACTATAGCAGCCGACGAGTTGCGGTTAGTACAGTTGACGAAGTTAATAAAGTTTCGATCCGTTTTAAATAAATAGTCGGGGAGCAATCGACAAAGAAAATGCTTCCTGAAAACAACGCAGAAGGCGTCGTAACAGTCTTATTTACGATGATCGTAAAATCTTCGGTAAAAAGATGAAATAGAGAACAAAATTTTAAAAGATTTGTTCTGTGTGTGTGAAAAACTTCATATTTCTTACAATTAGTTGAATAAATTTACTCGTTATAATGTATGAAAAGCAGAAACTAGATTCGTGCATAATTTTCCGGATTAAAAAGTTGGCAACTGCACATGTCGTACCTCAATGAAATGTTACATAAACACGCATTCATCTAAAATCTTTTCAAATTGCAATTTCAATGACGATTATCTCTCTGCGTTCATTATCGCTTAGTTCTAAGAATCTAAAATAGAAACTCGCTCCCTCTACATTCAACGTATCAGATTAAACGAGAGCGACGCATTTTGACAAATTAATTTGAAGCGAAGTATATTCGCTGTGCGAGAGTGTTGAATGAGATTTGCAAAAAAACACCAGGGATTACAAGGATATTGATAATTTAACGTGTACACGCAATATTTCCCACAATGCAGACGCAACTGTCATTCCCAACACGTATCATAGCTGGCTCATGGGTACTATTAGTATGCATGGGAAAACTTTTCGCGCGGGAACACACGGCCTCGAATATACATCGTTCGAGCTTTTAACCCGTTCGGTCGTTGCGGAGCTTCGCGAAGATCTCTGTGCGCGTCATCTAAAAGTCAGTTATCGCGAAGGCCCTTGTAAATTACGATCTCGCGTGTCGTACCACGTACTTGCCTTAACTTTTTGCATTACAGACAGCTGATGGTATCGTTGGGTGAAATATACAAGGGAAAGAGAAAAAAGAGAGAGAGAAAGAGAGAGAGAGAGAGCAGTTTACGAGAAACGTGTTAGTTTTCTCGACGTGATTCCAAAAGCTTTTACTAGTCAAGTTATAGGTTTTCTTTTCTCCGAAAAAAAACATCGCTGAGGTAGAAAAGCTTATCTTTTACATAACGAGATTTTAAGTAAAATAATGTAAAGTAGAAATTTAAAACTACTTTTTTAGACGAAAAGTACAAAAAAGTATTGCATTAAAATTGATTTATAATGTTTCATTTAAAGAATCAGTCAGTGAAAATTAAAATAAATAATTATTCGAATGGAATTTTTTATTTCTTCTTTTGCAATTCTTTTCCTCTACAATATCTAAGTTTTTTCCTCTGCTGAAAAAAAGTATTACACTATAATGAAACAAAGTGCTGAATTTTATTCTTACACGCTCCCTTTTTACGACTCATTTTCATCTCCGTTTTGCAGCGTGTCAGAAAGGCAAAAATTTCTTTTCACAATTTTCCGGGGTGCTTTTATTGAAAGATGTTGCCGAGATCACTTTCATCCGCGGAAGTGCAAGAACATGGAAAGTCTTTCCCGATATGTCGCGTAACGCGAGTTCACGACTCAGCCGGCGGAAAGCCGTGGATCGACAGCCATTGAGCAGTCGCGCGTAGATAAATGTTTCAACAGGAAAGGAAAGGTCGCGGCACGAGAATAGCGAGCGAGAAGACCGTTTGGCGCCGGTCGAAGTGCACTTCTCGAAGCTGCATCGCCCGACACGATGCAACAAGTTGCGAATGCAACGAGGCGTATCGCACACCCATTTACAGCGGATTATCGACGAGAGTAAAGCGCGCGACAAACATCTCTGACAAACATCTCTGACACAAGTTCCTGAAGGTTTTACAGAAAGATTAACGTAAAACGGAATGCCCAAGTGGATTTTTTAAGCGGCAGCGGATCGTCGTAATTACACTGCCGTGTACGCTGTACATCGTCTCTTTATTACGTTACCCATAAAAAAGTTTCTTAGCTTTCCTTCACACAATAGTTTTTTAATTTGATTGCGTGGCTGCTGCTTTACGCTGGAAATTTAATATTCTTCATAAACAGTTTTTATCAAATTGCGACACTGACACTATGAAATAGGCCTCTCTTGTTTTGTGTAAATAATTTAATTTCTTTAAGTTTTATTATTATTTAACTGTTAAAATTCAAAATTAATATTGATTAATATTGACGTTGCTAAACTAACATTTCTGAGTATCCGAAAATTAATCGCAATTTTTTATAATCCTAAAATAATATTACTAAATAACAATTTTAGCAGCTGATGCAAAAAAAAACAAAGTACAGTATTGCGTATTTTATTATTGCGTTATAACATGACATATTTGGACGAAATTAATTACGTTACCGGTAACCTATGCAAAATCGAATGCAATTCAATCTGGTTCTCTGCTAATGCTTTGAATTTAACAAATAAACAGTCAGTTTAATGCTGGTTTGTTATTTGCAATAGTGATTGGCAGCATGAATAAGCATCTGTTACCCGCGTTAGTTACTAATTGGTGCATGCTGGTGAATGTTACAATTTAATTATTGCATTAAAATCAACAAATATGTACATTATCAACGCAATGGGATGGAAAAAATTTGTTTGGGTACGGGTGCCGTTTCGACAATTTTCAATTATCTTTGCTCGCAACTTAAATCGTCAGTTTCATGTAAAACGATCGAGAAAAGCTTCTTGCGTGATTGCAAATTGTTTTTAGGATAGTGCCATTTACGTGAACGTTATTAAGGTGCAAGCTTTTGTGCGCTTTTGGCCATTGTGGCTTTTTAACATTGCATTTCATTGTATAATATCGCTGTCCATGAAAAAAGCAACATTTGGCACTTTAATAATATTGCATGATAGTACACTCTTTACGTCAAGCTTTTGCTCTATGCAACAGAAGGATGACGCATAGATTTAGTTGAAAATCTATTTTTTGTGCACGCTCAAAATTTAAATGATATACAAATTTGTATGCATTTATATAGCAAATATAATTATTTTTATAAGACTTACATCATATATGATAAAAAATTCAATTATAAAATGTTAATTATAAAATGTAATTAAAAAACTGATTATACACAAAATTTTTATTTAACTGTTTCTATCTTCTCTCTATTTTTCTAACTTTAATGAAGCGAGATCGTCAACAGAATACAAAGTATCGACAAGCAGCTAAAGTATCCTGAATTCACTAATAAAAGCCGTCGGTAGTACGTAGCAATTTCGAAATGTTACACTACTCTATAATATATTTAAAAAGAAATTCTAAAAGACATAGCATTTTATATTCAAAATTTTAAAACGACATTTAAGAGTTCGAGCAAATTTCGATGACTCGGCAAAAGAGACAATTAATAACAAGACCATATTAAAAGACGCAAATTTTCGACCATAAGAAAATATTCGAATATAATCCGCCATAAATTAAAATCTTTAAGGCGCAAATAAAAAATTTTTTTACACTTTTGCGTGCAATATTAGATTCTGACGTAGTCGTACTTTCAGTCGATTTGCTCTTACTAAAGAAATTTTTTGCAGTCGAATAAAAAATTGTCAATGTAGTTAGAGTTGCATTGACGATGACGGGATACATGAATGAAGGATATGCTGTTACCTGAACGGGTCCAGCCGCCGCGTAAACAGCCGCACCGATGAAAAGGATCGCGATCGATGAGCCGGAAAACGCCATTAAGCCGTGTCTAGTATGCGGTGACCTGATACCAATGGGTGCTGCGACTCGTTCACCAGAAGGGAAACCGATCGGTTGCGTTTTCCTCGGACTGATGCTCACGTCGTGAAAAACGCATGAAGTGCCCCGAGTCGCGCGCTCCTCGGAATATATAGAGCAGCGTTTAGGAAGGGGTGCAAACGTCGCGCAGACGCGAGTATGCTGCGACGCGTAAACTTCGCCGACGATTAGACACATTTCCGTTTCTTTTTTTTCGCAAAATTCTATGCACCGATATCTATGTATTCTTCGGCGGATATCGAGATCAGATCTATATAATATTGAGTAAATGATAAATGAATCTGAATTTCAATGCGGACGCACGAAATGAGTTTCACGTTTTCACGTTTATTCGAGACGATAGAATACGATAATTGATGTGAAATAAACTTTTTTCCAATAATGGCAGTTTTGATTGTAGAATAAATAAATTACAAAATTTTTTCGAGTATTTTTATCAATCAATTTCTCTTCATATGTTATTTTTTCAGAAATAGCAAATGTCTAATTCTTTATCAAATATCCTGGTATCGCAAAGTAGTTACTATTGCTATTATCTTTATAAAATAAACCCATCCATTAAAATTATTTTCTAAGTGAACTATAAAAGACTTTTCCTCGAATTTATATCGATTGAATTATAAGTTGATAAAAATTAATTACCTCTAAATACAAAAGTTTACTTGATAAAATGTCAGATTTAGCTATTTTCTACTATATTCAGTATACTTTTACGAACTTATCGGCTTCGGGAAGAGAATGTTCTTGTTACACGTCACTTCGATAATCGCAATACTATAAATTTTAAGCGGATAAGTGGGCGGATAAATAGTTCAACAGATAATCCATCACAAATTTGAGACGTGTTTTCCAAGTATATACATTAAATAAAGTATTTTTTGATAATGCATCAATTAATGTCAAGCTCTGACGTGCATCAAAATAACATCTTGAGAACTAGAAGGAAAAGATTAATATCGAGAGATAAGCGTAAGGTAATATACAAATTGATCCTTGGTTGCGTTCTCGAAGCAACTGAGATAACAAGTGAGAAGCAACTTTCGATCTTTATCTCCTACTTGAAGTTTTAGGATCAAACAGGATTTTTTGCAACACTCAAGGAAAACTCTCTTTTTTTCTTTCTATATATATATAGTCCTTTCAATATATCTTTGCAAGGTTAACCGATATTTATGTCTTGAGACGATCATCTTCAATTTTCAATTACGTGCTTATGCACGTTAACTCGTAGATTATAATTTATTACTCCACATGGATAGAGAATGTTATACAACTTGACAGGATATTAGCTAAATTTCTCAAGAATCCATTATCAACGATAAAGGAGCTCTCACTATTGTTTTCAGTACATGATATTGACTGATAAATTATATGACATGTACAACGATAGAAGAGAAAATTGTACTAAAATTTTAAAATAATAGTAAATCTTAAATAAAATAAAAATAAAAAATCTTAAACACTGTTTGAAGAGCCTTTGATAAAATTTCCACGATTATGGAAGAGTTAAAATAAATTGAGAAACAAATTCCTTTTTTGCTATTTTTGAAGCTTAATTTGCCAAAATTCTTTAATAATAATAATGTTGAATAATCCTTTCTAGTATTAAAAGTTGAAAAAATATGCAGACATTAAAATTATGTGGTTCATTTAAAATTATCGTAGATTAAAAAAAAAAGAAAGGTATCTATTCGAGAATTTATTGAGAGCGTAGCAATTTCGAAGGAGAATGTTCTATAATGTTCTCGTGATATTCGTAATTGCAGCAAATTGATCTAATCGAACAATCCTGTGTGCACGCACATAAATGCGAAAACCGCGAACGGCGAATAGAGACGAAGGGAAACAATGCCTGCGATCGATCTTGCTCTCCGTATCTGGTGCAGAAAATAATTCTTGACCGTGAAAGTTGCGTGCGTATCATTTATGCATATCGCGCGTAAATAATGCAAAAATAATTTAATAACTTGGGATATAAAATAACTGGGGTATGAAAAAAATTAGGGTATGAAAGTCAAACGTTAAGTCATTAGCGTTGCTATTATAATTAACAATCAAGATACAAAAATTCCTAATTTTAATAGAGACACCTAATTTATTTGTGTAAATTGAATTATTTATGTATTTAGAAACTAAGAAAATGAGGATGACTCATGAAATATATAAAATGTCAAGATTGCGAAATTGCGCGATAGATTTGATATTATCCTTTGAAGAATGTTTATTGCCTTTATTTCGGCAGCAATCAATTTGAACGAATCTTATTTGATATAACTCAAATCATTACGATATCTAACTTTCATCTGTTGTCGTATTCGCCAATAATAGAACGGCGCTAGTAATTTCTTCGTGGTCATTTTTCGTGATTAGATATAATCTCAGCAGCCATGCTGAAACAAAAGCATTAACGACTTGGAAAGAGCATTCCTGTGCTGATCGCGCTATTTGACGGGTCGGCGCGCGCGATTCCGAAATGCGTTGTGCAGTTCCGTTGCGCATTCGCACTTTACGAATGATAATGGCAAAAGCATCGTGCGTTTTCATTACCCGTCTGCATCGCGAGGTAATAGCGACATTTCCGTATTGCGTTTAGCTTTGCTTACTGTACCATTCCGAAGAGTGCAGCCCGCAGACTCAATATTGTAAAGAACCGTTAAAACTTACGATCTCGTTAAGAACAAGTAGTTTTTCACGCCGAGATGCCGGCAGTATAACTTTGATTATTTGTCCAGATGTTCGTGACATCTGCGCGTCAATTGAACACACGTGCATCAATCCTCCGCATATTTCCGTTGCTTGCGACAATTACTTCGCGCGAGCATATTTCACATACTGTTGGAAAAGTAAGAGAAGAAGTTAGATACATAATTATAAAATAAGTTAATTTTGTTGATATTATTTTAATATGAGCCACACAGAAATGCAAACAGAGTTGCTTGAAGAAGAAAATACTTTAGATTAAAATATAATTCAAAATAATACATATTTTTTTAATATGAGCCACGCAGAACGCAGAGTTGTTTGAAAAAAAATACTTTAGATTAAAATATAATTCAAAGTAATACATATTTTTAGTGATGATATAAATTTCATTTTGTAAAACAAAGCATTAATAATTGCTCGCACAAGCGGCGGAAATAAATGGATCACTGAACAATTTAATACTAATAAAACCAATTTAATAATGTAAATCTTAATAAATATATATATATGTTTATAACATATATGTATAACTATTCCTATACACATTATACAAGTCATTATACATGTATGTTATATCAAATATCAACCTGACATTCGCGAGTAATCTTCCGATATTAACAACTTTGAACTTTGCGAACTTTTCGATATGTCGCGTACTTGGTTTGCTTGAAAACGGTAAGTAAGTTTCATTCCCTCCGGAAGCTGTCCCTTCGCCGGGTTTTCAGCTACTCGCAAACGCATTTGTCAATTTGCTGGTGCACGTCGTTCCGTATCACGGTTGCAAACAACGGATGAGTCGCTTCGCGAAATTGAGATTTTATAAATGTCGACGTTGAGTCAAGCTTGCAACGTGTTGTCCAGCACAACGTTCGGAACAAATGTTTCGAACGGAATTGGCGTACGCTCTTATATGCCGCGACCCTGTCTTCGCGGTAGGGGCGAAGGTCCCACTCTCGTGTCCGTAGGAAAAAGTGCTCTTATTTATAGATATGAATAGAGAGAGACAAAAGAGCTGCGTGGACGCGGCTCGAACAAAGGCTACTGAAATCCACGCATCCCCTCGAATAGATATCGAGTAGCATTAATGGCATCTTGGCGACGATGTAATGGGATCTTACCTATCGTCGGAATATAGAGCCGCTATTATTTTCATAATTTCGTATATAAAGAGCGGATGTCAGAGACGAGTCCTCAGTATACGGTGATGGCTCGTGCGAGACGTGTCCTGGGAAGGATGAAGCTCCTTATTCTTTGCGTAAGCATCATCGGACATACGTCTGTTTTGTCGACCCTCCCGTAATTTGTTGTAAACACAATACATTACTTAGCATTAATTTACTTAATCTCATTTTTTCTTGAGCCGAATTTTGAAAGGAACCATCACTTTTCACAACTGTCAAATCTTGAATTAAAACTAAAAAAAAATATAACTTAATAATAACTTATCTTCACTTTTGATTGCTTACACGCATAATTTCAATTAAAAAAAAATATTCCTTTCACAATCTCGTACAAAAATGTATCATAAAATTAAAAATCACGTATTCTGAAATTGAAAAAACAAAGTGACCTACATCCCTTGTTATTAAAATTAAAATTTCATAAATTTTAATGGAAAAATATTGAAATATTATGATACATAATGAATGAAAATTTTAATCACGAAACACCAATATAAAATCAGATGATGATCCATGGCTTGTTTGCGGAGGGCCCGGGGCAAGTTTTGTCAATCGATCGGTGGAAGGAGCAAGTTGTTGCGCCGGAATTCGTACTGGACGATAGCGAGGATATCTCGAGTCGAAACGCATTCTTCTACGAGGATAAGCGCAGTTTTCATCCCGAGCAAGTTAAGCGTATCGCCGGCACCGAGGACATCGACCTGCAGCCGCGTCTTCTAACGAGAGTACGTTTGCATAATTCGCAAGAATCTCTTTTCTCCTAGTTTTCTTTCGCAAAAAAAACAAAAAAGAAACGTGGCATCGTTACACAACGCTGTCACGTGATATCCGAGCTGAATTAGTGTCACATAAATTCATTATTTTTATAACAGGGATAAATGTTAGCTTATGATGTAACAAAGCAAAAAAAAAAAGAAACGTTTGACTGTCAATTAACATTTTTCCTTTGAATAATTTAGAAAAGAATAACAGTAACGCACTTGAAGTTTTCTCGACAAAAGTTTCCCGGCAATTGAATGTATCCGATTCTTCATTGCCCTTTCACATCTCGATGCTTTCGTGCTTGAAGTTTGTTAAACGCATGGGTGATTATTTTCTAAATTGATGTTAAAACGCGAAGGTTCTCCCACGCGTGTCGTCGCAGCGCGGATTTTAATGGCAAAGGTCACCTCGATTTATTGCAAAAAAAACCAACTGTGAATAACTTTTTATGCATTAGAGGAGAAAATTGCGTTGTATTTTGTGGTAACGGCACAACGAGAGATTAAATGTGTTTCAAATCGAATTTCATAAAGAGTACGCGATAGGATTTGTTTTTTCGTTTTTCCTTTTCATTTTGCCGCGCTGTTTCATTCGTTCATTTGTTTTGCGGGCTTTCGCGAATCGTTTTGTATGTAGCCGAAACGGCTGTCATCCACCAAAAAGTGTCACGTTCAAAGCACACATTGCGTGCTATGTGGAATTTAACCGAAAAGTTGAAAACGAGCTCGTTAGTTACCAAGCAACGTGCGAGGAATTCTACGCGAATTACTTTGCAGATATTTAAATTAATTAATTAATTCTATTACAAAGAAAACTCTGTTATCTTGATTTTGTCGAATGGCATTCTATTATTCGTTTCAACATAAAGAATATCCGCTTTCGTGCCATTTAATTAGCATAACGTCTACGTATATTTCTGTAAATTAATATCAAGTAACTTCCGTATATCAAGTGACACATGAAATAAGAAACGTTTAACAAAAATGTTTATTCGCAGTCTCTGCAATGCACTTGCGAGACGCAATTCGAAATAAGAGACCTCGGCGAGGGACATTATCCGAGATACCTAACCGCATCGCACTGCAAGCCGAAAGCCTGCCAGAGCAAGTTCAATTCCTGTCGACTGCTGCACTACATGGTAAGATCGCGTGACAATCGATAATCCGTGGTGCGAAGTAGTGAACTACCGATTAGGCGCGTCCGGTACCTAAGTGGTTGTCGAGCATTGTGCAAGTATACACAACTTTAATTAGCGCCGAACGCGTAAACTCTCGGCTTATTGATCACCGAACTTCTCGCTTCGAGGATAAACACCGTCCTTCGTCACAGTAATAATATTGCGCGATGCAGCCACAATAGCGATATGCAACAATTGACCATTACGTGTTTGCATTGCAATTTACGCGACCTGGTAGCTTTGATTATGTAACATCAATCTTGTGCTAAACGCGCGTTTGAATGTCACTTAATTTTGCCGCCGTAGTTCAAATGCGTTCGGTATTGCTTTTCTGTCTGATCAAAACTCGCTGTAACTACTTGCCTTATGCACGAGACTCGATGTATGCGCAATGTGAGTTTGATCGCTGCATTATCGTTGACATTTACAGACAAAAATATCGATTGTTATGTGTAAATCAATACGTACATATAGTTCTTACTTAAAAAAATACCGCGCCGAAATATAACAGGAAATATTTTGTCGATTTTTATTTAAAAACAATACGAAAAATGCTATTTTCGTAACAAAGTGAAAACACAAAAGTATACAATACGTATTATTCTTTACGTTGTTTGTTTTTCATCAAAGAAGAATATTAGATAGCGATGTGATAATGCGTATAAGCGGGATGAGAAATATTTATTCGTGCATTATACACGTTAGCAACTGTATTATTCGCGAGAGATTAATGCCGTTGAAATTGTTAATGTCAAAGATTAATTAGTCTGCGCACAGTTGGCGTTCTTGTTACATCTGTCCATAATAAGAATTCGCCTGCCGACCCATCCTAATTAATCGTATTTGTACGTGCGATTATTCACCCGAGAATCCCGTTACGGAGCAACAATGCGGCGAATTATCAAACAGCATGACCGAATATTTGTACATGTTAGAACAACTGTTTGTGACCAGTTCTCCGTATCATTAATTGTCTCTCAGAAATGTCGAAAAATACTACAGTGTCGGCTATTTTGTGAATGCTAATTAAATATAAAATTTAAAAAAAAAAATAAAATAAAATAAAATAAAAATTGTATCTTTGCAGACATGCGTCATTTTCGACGAAAAATTCATTGTCTGTGATTCTTTAAGAATTACTCGGCAAGATGCTGTAAAACGTATTTTCCTGTTTAAAACACGGAATATTAAACGAGAATAATTATTGTTTTCACACAGGTTCACGTGTTGAGTCAACGCGATTTAAGCGGATTAAGCGATGATCGTTATTCGGACGATAGCACATTTCCGGAAACCCCACTTCCGGACTCCCTTCGTCACAAGTGGCAGATGAAGCCGATGAAGATACCCGTCGCGTGTGTGCCGGCGGCGGGATAAGAAAAACTAATACGTGTCCACCCCGAAAGTGTCAGACCGATCGAGAAGATAGAATTTAGCAACTTCCGTCGTGTTTTAGACCGATATTTGACGACTAAATGCGTGCAGCATATTAAATTTTACGTTTCCGCTTGCAGTACATACATACGACAAATATAAAATATAAAATCAATGAATAAATAATTAGGTCGTGAATTCCAATTGTATAATTTTTACCTCTCATTAATCCGTCAAAATATTAGCCTGTACATTTAACAATGCGTTTATCAAATATGTTTAACGGATATGCAATCCTTCAATTGTTCAAAATAAATAAATATAAAAAATGTTTTTAAAAATACGATTTAAACTGCTATTGATCGCTACCAATGCATTTTGTGAGTTTACTTTTTTTGCTGCAATAAAATACAAACTTCTAATAAAAAAATTGATAAATTAACCCTATAAAAATGTACATTGATGCGATGTGTTTTTAAGAAAAAGAGCATAATTTAATTCTTTACGCTTCAGACAAAGAAAGCATTGACTATCACATTACGCGCAAAGAACGGACGAAGTAATTTTATGATGCAATTTGCGAGTATGGCTAGCAACAGCAGCAGAGAGAAAGAGAGAGAGAGAGAGAAGAAGAGAACGCGATTAAAATCAATTAAAACAATGTTGCAATCTATGTTGTTTCGCAGCTTTGTTACAAAAATGATAATTTTAATATGTCCCTTTTTAGAGGTTTATCATTAAAGTTCAATAAAAATTGTGTAAATTTTTCATTAAATAGATGAGAAGACAAAATTAAAGATTTGCATTAATCTGTAAAACAAATTTCATCTTTTTAATTCCTGTGATATATTGTTACAAGGACAACCTGTACAGTTTTCGTGCTTTCGATGTATCACACGCATACATATGCAACGCTGACCTCGCGCAACAAGTTACGTTCAACGCGTAAAATAATTTAAGAGACAAGATCGATCGCCCGCGCGCTTTCTGTCGAAGAGAATAATGAAACCCTGGTGTGCTTCCAGTCGTTCTAGGGTTACCAAAGCAATCAACGGCATGAATAAAGCCAGGCACAATGAGATCTGCGCGGTACATAGGTCCAATTCCGAGCGTACAATTAATCCCGTTGTAAAATACCTGATTAAAAAGGGGCACAGACACAGTTTAATGACAAACGTCCGGCTTTATCGTCCAATTTAATTTTCAGTTGTAACGACACCATATTCGCAGCACGTTCCTTTGACGTCACATAATTTTGGCATCCCCGCGTTTACAGAAAAAGATTCTTCTGATTACAAATTCATGATTTCACACCGCGGATGCATACCATCGAGAACGCGACTTTCATGCGTTCTAATATTTTAATTAATTTGTCATAATAATTCGCATTTTGTTTCATTGCATCATTCAATTAATTATTTTCCTATATAATATATAAATACATAATCCTGAATAGCATCAATCATTTTAATTTCACAAAAAGATAATCGATATTCTTTAATGTGTCTCTCGAATGCTATAATAATAAATATAAGAATAATTTTCTGTTACGCGGACATTCGAACGCTAGAATTACAGCCATTAACATTTCGATAAAAAACCTTGTCGTTACTATTCTGTTACGACATTAAGTATCGCGAAAATGTTTAATACAAAAAAAGAAAATAATTAAATTATATATTATATTAAATTTGCATTAAATCAATGAAATGAAATAATGAGGATTTTAAAAATTGTACCATTAATTTTATATTTAATAAATATACTAATTAAACACTATTAGCACTATTGATTTTATATCATAAATAAGAAAAATACAAATCAACCAAAAATGTTGTAAAGCAAATATAGCTTGATATAAATGTTAAAAAAGCGGGTGACTTCACATAATTTAAACGAATAAAATCGAGTATATTTTAAGTTTTAATAAAAGCATTAGCTGCTGGTAATTTTATAAATTGCTTTGTCCTTTGTAAATTGCATAAGTACAGGCATTCTCATATTATTGTTGTTATTCGAAAAAAATTTCTAGAAATTTGTAGCTATAAAAGAGAAGTTACTCTTTGTAAAACTTGAGTAATTTGCCTTTACAAGACAAATATATACTTTAAAGGCGCGTGTACGAGTTTACGTATTACTGACATTTCTCGAAATAATTTTCTGTTACGCGGACATTCGAACGCTAGAATTACAGTCATTAACATTTCGATGAAAAACCTTGTCGTTACTATTCTGTTACGACATTAATGAATTACTCTGCCCCGTGACATTAAAGTTATAAATTTTAACTAAACATACTTTCCTTTATTCTCTTTATTATTGATTCGCTAAAAATGATTTTTCTCTACTAAACTCGCGACAGTGTCAATACAATATATTTTATTTTGTAAAATATTATAAAAGGAAGAAAACTAAATTCAAAATTAATCTTCGTCACAATTGCGAAGAGAAGGTCAAAATATACATATACATATACATATATTGCAAAAATTTAATACAAATATTTATTGGTAAATTTACCGACAATGAGTTATATTTGTAATCATCATCACTTTTAGAATAATGGATGGACGAAAAACAAAAGAATTTTAATTGCAAAACGCCGCTCCATAAACCTTCACACATTTTTCTCATTCTCGCATTTTTTAAAAAATTACAAGGCTTTTTAGTTAAATTGAAAATATACCGTTTTTCTCATGCAGGATTGTTCATTCTACTCTATTAGGGTACAAAATTTTGTTAAAATGCTCAACATTTCGTGATGAATCTATTTCGCGCTCTTTGAAAGTTGCTGCATTGTATGCTTATAAACCCTCAAGAAATACAAGCTATATCCATAAAAACGACAAGCCACCCAGCCAGTAGGTGTCCAGGGCGTTACGCACCGTAGTTCGCGTACACGAAAAACCAATACTGCCCACCCGAGTAAATCGGTCAAAGCTGATTGTCAGCAGGCTCAAATGCGCCCCTAATCTCATTAGGTACATACGTGTACGTCGCTTTGTCGTTACAACTGGTTAATATACCGCTTCATAATCAGCTTCATGTTCCAAAATGATATATATTCCCAAATCTCAGAAAATTACTGATTTTCGGAAGAACTAATCATTGACCAAATCTTCGAATCATCAAATTAATTCTTTTTCTTTGTTCTTAATTAAACATATCAAACGATTATTATTTTTAAAGCCGTTTTAAAGACAAATAAAGCCATTTTAAAGAACAAATAAAGCTTCATTTTTCATTAAACTTAAAATAAATTTTAACAGAATTAAATTTCGCATTATAAATAAACTTAAGTTTCCATGATATGAGAAATGATTCGAAAAGAATAATAAAATCATGAATTACTGTGTATTAAAACATGGAATAAAAAATAAAATATCAAAGTTCAATTGCTTCTATCTCTAGTGCGTTGGCGTTTTCAAAAATTTTTTGTTTGAGAATTACCAGTTTCAAGAATTCGAGGTGCAAATCATTTCGGTAAATTCACACGACGCAAATCGCGTCGATGTCAAATAATTTCCCTCTTGCACAAGAGCTTGCAAAAATAAAAAAGAAATAAACATGATGAAGTACACGCGTGATCCTGCTTATTGTGTATGAGCAAGCCCATCTTTCATGATATCGCGCGACAATACAGTTTTTCAAAATTTTATAGGAAATTTGTTCCAGCCGGCTGTGCTACGGCCTGTCGTCACATCGTACGCATTACACACGTGCATTCATCGGTCGATCGAGCATTGTTAAAACCCTGCTTCAAGAGCGTTAACGGTTTCCAGGAGCAAACACTCAACGCTGTTTGCCCTCTTGCCTCGACAATATTGGCTGTCCATCACACAGTGTCGATGCCTGCATGCATCTTTACTCTGTAGAATATTCGCTAATCGGATGAGATCATGCATAAATAAATATAAAAAAAAAAGAGAGAAAGAGGAAAAAAGCGCACATTCTCGCAAAAATGTATCAGTAAATAAAAATTGCATTCGCGCTTTTAGATTTACAGAGAGAAATCGTTTTTTCCTTCCTGATAAATGAAATCACAAACAATAATGCCGATTGCGGTGCGGTTTAAGAATACTCCAGCGACTGTAAAAGTTGCGGAAAGTCCACGCTGTTGAGGAGAGCACTTGTGAGTTAAATATTAATTTCCGTAAAAGTGGAAAGCTGGCATAAAATGCATTGTGAGCGCAATATTTCCGGAAAAATTGTTTTCCTTCTAAGTAAGGCTTTATGTACCAAAGCTGAAGACACTGTAAAGAAGCTTTAAGTGCCATTTACAAGAACAGATATGGCTGTACAAGATACATGCAAAGAGAATTCTTTTTCCGGACATCTTCCGCAAGACAATGTTATCGCTGAAGATATTCTGGGATTTTTATTTCTGGCCACTGGAGGACGATGGTCTCCACGTGGCGTCTCGAAATTATTGCACGTGGCAGACGATCCTGTTTTTTTTTACCCTTTTCCGCGCGCACGCACGCACGGGATATCGCCACCTCGAGTGACATTCCGGTCTTCGAGCGCGGATATAATCACTCGAGCTATTGTTTGCACTCCGGCTGATCTTTCATTTACCTTCCAGGTGGGCGTGTTGCCGGCGGCTTAGCCGTACTTCGTTTCTACTATCTACACTCCGCTACGTCCCCGATAAAAGTGACGCTGATGTCGCGTCGCAACGGCGGATCGAATTGCGACCACTCGCTCGAGGATCGATAATTAACAACTGAACATGTTGTGAATAAAATAATCCAGACAAAAATATGAGTTTATATTGCGATATAATGCAGACGCATTTTATTGCTAGAACGATTACTGCATTTCAAAAGTTATATATAATTTTTGCAAAAATTTATAAACATTTATGCAACAATAAACGTATTAAAGAATTAATTTTAATAATATCAAAATCTTTTTTAATGTATAAATAGTATTTTCTTTGAAAAAAAAAAGGAATTACAGAATATATAGTATTTTTACTAAATACCAATAATCTTTTGTGTATGATGGAAATTGCGTTAATTCATTATTCAAAAAATATCAGTTTTTTTAAACTGCAATTTATTAGTTTAGATTGTAATGCTCGTTTCTATAAAGTGCCACACTCGATAAAAAATTTCATATGTTGTTTTACATATTTTCCACTTTAACTGGTCAATAAACACTCGATAAGATTACGTATCAAAAAGAGGACAATCCGGTATTACGTTGCAAGCCAGCTAGATAGTTATTCGCAGTACCAGTTAACAGAAAAAAAATTGTGTATTATTCAACTATAACGAATTTGTTCACAAAAACTTGATATAAAAATTTAGAGTTGATTTAGTTATAAAGCTTTTAGTTGAAAATAATTATTCGTTGCATTTTTTATAATCTACTGAATTTTGAGATAAATATTCTGGCGTGTGTGACGTATTGTACATTTTAATGAAATTTATAAAAATCTATCTCGTATTATTATAAATAAGATTGATTCGCGATATAACTGATACATCCGATATATCCGAGCGGTCTAAGTTACTTTTACGTTTACGATTACGTTATGATATATAATGAAACATCTCCCAACGATCTCTCGATATTATTACAAGAATAGTATTGTTCGCCAAAAATCATCGTGTACCCGAAATACAGACATGGTTATCTGGCGAGTTCGTCAACCTTTTGATGGTCATGCTGTAACGTCAAGAAAGAAAAGCGTCGCTAACATAATAGCTCCTACGAGGCACATCGGATATGTTTCGAATTAAGCACCTCAGTAACTTTATCCCACGAGCGCTATCGTCCAACCAAGTATTTTTTTTGCTTGCGGTGCTCCCGTAGTTCCCACTCATATCGCCTTCTTAGGTGATCTCATCTCACGTTCGGGATACATGTCCCTACGAGGACTAATTAAATTGTTACTCTTCTCCTGTATACATAATGCCGACAATTAACTCGCAGACACTTGCGAAAAATTGGTGAAATTTTAGGCAAGAGAAAAATAATTTTAATAATAAGTTCTCAATTTATATTGAGATAAATTCTCAGAGTTTTATCTTCGCGCGTTATAAATGTACAAAAAAGTATGTGTTTAATTATCCCTTTATCTCTCGCAGCTTAATATCTTTCTGCAAATTATCAGCAATTAGAGGAAAATTTAACATCAGATTAATTTAATATGAGGAATATTAATCGATTGATTTGCTGCTATCGTGTAATAATTTCTCTCATACATGTTCTTTTCTCATTCACTCACTTGTTCGTTCATACAATCTTTTCATTCGTTTTAAAACGTAGAATAATATCCTTCTATTTACGGCGCATAAGTAAAAGTCATTGTTGTGTGAACGCACTTTGCGATCTCACTTTTGCAAACGCCAAGGTCTCGTTCCGCACAATTTCAACAGCAGTTAAAACGCACATCGTGGGTGTCACGAATATCATTCTCTCACTCGGATTTCGAAAACGAGGCCTTGTACGCGCGATAATGCTATTATGCAGTTCCGACGATTAATAACAAACGACGTTTATAGATGCACGGTGATGCGTTATGAGGTCGAGCAGCTCGTAATATTCTAAGCTACATTAACGAATGTTTTCTCGTCCAATTTCGGTACCATGAATATTAAGCAATTCTGCACACGCACGAGAAAATTAAAGCGCATTGACGAGTATTGTAATATATGTAATATAAATTTATGACATTACTGTAAGATTAAAGATAAAAATATTATCTAAAGTAACTCTTAGCTTCGTAAAATTTTATACTTCGTAATTTTCAACTTTTCATAAAAATTAAACTATTTAAATATACATGTATAATGATTTTATATAATGTAAATCTCTTACGCTTATAGTATAAAATTAATATCATTCTTATTAAAGAAAGTTATATCTGTTAAAATGCTCCTTCAAATGTGAACAGTATTTAAGTTTCCAAAATTTTTGTCAAAATTCATATTTATCTTGTTTCAAATTTCTGAAAGACATTAAAGTTCAAAAAAAATACAAATTTAATCAGAAGTAAACTTGCTAACTCAATTTCATTTAAGAACCGAGTTTCCAAGCTTCAATAGATTGATAATTACAACTTTCTCCGCGAAGAACATTTCTTATTAATTTCTATCAACGACAAATCTAAAAGATTTCTAAAAGATTATCACTTGTTTAAAAAGTTAACCATTGCCAACGCCAATAGATGATCCGCGTAAATTCTGCACAAAGTTAAATTATTAATTAAGTTAAATCTGCACAAAGTTAAATTATTAATTTAATTAAATCTGCATAAAGTTAAATTATTAATATAAATGTACGGCTAATTATCGTTAAATGTGTGTTGAATAAGAATTGTTATTAAAATATCCTAATTAATTATTTAGATGGAAAGATATATTTAAATTTCAGACATTTAATTTTCATTGAATTGACCAAACATTACGTACTATTAATACATTCCAATTTTACATTCTTTCCATAAAAAGAAATTAAATAATAGAATAATAAAAATGGCCTCGACTCGATAATACAATAAACACATCTCTTGTTATTTTTGTCATATTATTTAATTAGATTGCAAATATAGTTAAATGAAATCACCGCGCTTCCACCTGCCTAACTGGAAAGAGCGGACTGTCAGGAAGCGGATCGATGCGACTATCAAACGCTGCGCTCGTGCGCCGCTGGTCCGAAGTAATTAATTAAATTACAGTACACGCTGTGCACTACACTAATAACGAGACGGAACATTACGTTGTCCACGACGATGTCCGAAATACCCATCATCATCGGACAGCCATATGAAAATGATTCTCCGAATATATTCGTTTTTTGCAAATTCGTATACACAAATTGTTATCAAAATTACGCCATTAATATGTTGTATAAAATAATCATTAATTATTGTTCATTCTCTTCAATTTTGAGATGTATGCAAATAAATGATTTTTACCACTAATTTTTTAAAAAAGTTCCTAGAAGATTTCTTTAAAGTATATATCATTATTACTTTCATCTATCTTATGCCATTGTAATGTCGATATGTTACTTCTATTATTAATTATAAATTATAGAAGTCTTTTTGTACTATTTTGTAAATAAATAAACCAATCTTTTAAATTAAAAATTTCTAAATGTTTTTTAATGTCTTGTGTATTTTATTCAAAGTTTTACCATTATTTAAAGTAAAATGCAATTTTAATTGTGTGTGTATAAAAATTTTGTTTAGCAAAAATTTATACTTGCTAACATTTCACTTGCAAGCTAATATCATCAATATCATCAATGTGTATTACATTCGAGTTAATTTATCATCTTATTAATTAATAATATAAATTTATTATTATACTTCGTTATTTATAAATATATACTATATTTATAAATTTTTATTTTTTTTAACCTTTAACGTATATCAAGGGTCATAAAAAAGTTTATATTATATATTTTATATGTACTAAATTCGTGTTATATTCATGCCATACATATTTGCATGGCCGGAAGCATGCAAATTTAATATAAATATAGTACTTGATACGCGTATTAAACCAAAACAACGTGTAAACAATCAATGTAAACAAAACTATAGGTTGAAAGTACCGCTGCAGATTAAAACAGCTCAGATTTATCTTTGCGCATGGCAAACATCAAATATTCACTAGCTACTGCTAGCTGCAATCAGCTGCGGTTGAAACACTTGTGCGCTTGATATTTTTGCCACGTTTATGACATTGAAACAATGACTCAGATTGTCTTCGCTTTTTTGATTTGTGCATTCGGGACGGCGAGTTTCGTGGATACATATCAGGACAGATACAATGGTATGATAATACGTTTGTAATAACGTTCTGTTTTCTCATACTAGCGTTTCTAACCTATAACAAATGACGCACTAACAACCTGTTTGTACTTTTTCTGTAATTCTCTTGTCAGCATGCATATGTTGATCTTAGACATGATTTGGATAAATCCTTATTTCAATAAATTCTTTTATAGTAGAAATTATCAATTGATTCTTTGTCAGTGAGAGTAATATTTATTTAATGCTAATAACAAGTATTTATATTGAAAGGTAACTTATTTGGCTGTTAAATAATGAATTGAATTACTTGGTGTCACTTGAATTAATTGTTATTAACTTTTTGATTATCTTGCAGATTATAATAGCGTGGATCAAGAACAGGATGGAAAGATCATGAATTCGCTAATGAGTCTACTATATAATCACAAATATAACAAGGAGAAACGTAGAAATATTGGAGATGGATCTAAGAATTGGTTAGGACAATGGATACCTAGCGATACAAATGATCTGATACCACCCAAAGTGTTGCCAGAGAATGAGCAACAATATGAATATCAATCAGTGACAGAATTTCCCAATGAGATACATTGGACTGGACGCTGGATGCCTGACAGACCCGACGATCCAACACCTTCACCAAAAATATTCCCAGACAATGACCAAAGATTTGAATATGAATCTGTGACAGAGGTTCCCCATGAAATGTTCATGGGCCATGTGTCACCAGAATGTGATGACGCTAAGGTGAATATCAGCCTTATTCATATAAATTGTATTTTCCAAAAGAGTATTTTTGTTTTAATAGAATGTGTCACATGTGTTTCAACTGTGATAACTTTTCAGACCAACCTAACTATTGATTGGGATAATTCCCCATCAGAATATACATGTTATGGTCATAAAATTACGCCAAGTATAATTGCACCCAAAATTTACTGTGAAAACATCCCAAAAACATACAAGGTAAACATATTTTACTGTCATCAATATTAATAACATATCTATTAGTATGAAGTTTAATCATAGTATTTTTTCAGGCTGCTCATAAATGTATGAACCAAAAAATTGAATATGATGACGATATTCCTCTTTAGTAAGTAAATTATAGTCCTTTGTTATATGTATAAACGTCATGAGAATGGTTCCTTATAATATTCGCATGTTTACAGCGGCCCACACCGACCCTTGTGGCCAGTTTACGGAGAGTACAAATATGTACCCAAACAGAGATGGCTGCATAATCTTGAGGTAATATCACAGTGCATCTCTTGCAAATTTAATATCGAAGTATTATTTATATTTGTCATGTTATCCTTAACAGCATGGAGCGATTGTTATGCTGTACCATCCGTGTGCAAATCCACTGGAGGTGAATCGTTTGAAGAATCTCGTTAGGAAGTGTCTCTGGCGACATGTTATTACACCATACAATTATCTAGACGAGGATCGTGTAAGTGTAGAATTGTACTAATAATTTATTTAACATGCCATTTTTTTCTTCCTATTCTCAAGTTTCTCAGCTTTTCAATTTATCTCGATTCATAATTTAAATATTATTCTCAATACTTTATCTGCATTATTCTATTTTTTGTTTTGTTTTTTAGCCCTTGGCACTTCTATCTTGGGGCTGCAGATTGACTATGTCTTATGTGAATCCCACGGTGGTGAATCACTTTATACAGAAAAAAGCTCTTCGCGGTCCGGAAAAAACTGCGGACGACGGTCAGTTTGAAGATCGACTATTAAGTCGATCGAGTATAGTGACAGATCCACTGGATTCTGTGCTTTGTCCTAAGATATAATAAGTGAATGTACGTGATGATACAAATAGTGTGATATTTCCTGTATTTCTGAGATCTACAATTAGCAGACACATTTATATTTTGTACATATTTTTTTACGGAATGTATCCGATTATCATTTTTTGTGAGATTTGTTTTTTGTTGTGTAACATTTAAGTAGATGGCGTAGAAACTTATTTATTTGTAATGTAATTACTCAACAAGCTTTATTCTTGTAAAATCTTAAATATAGTATATAAATATCCACCGAAGACGTTTCATTCTTGACGACCGTATCGTTTTCTTAATATCTTGCAATTAAGGAGAAGGAGGATTGGAGAAAATGCCGAGAGGATCCAAGAAACTGAGCTGCTCCCTTTTCTTTTATTCCCCATATATTCATATATTCTTCATCCTTCGAGAAGATCATTAAATACATTGAACATCGTGTCGGTTTTTTGAATTCTCCTTGCGGACCGCTTATCTACAGATGTATAGTAACTTCACTGTAGTGCTGATTATAATTTTTATTTTTGCGGATTACTTATCTCCAATGATATATAAAATTAGGAGTTAAAGACAAGTGACACGCTACTATTGTTATCGGTAATGCAAAATATGCTACCCGACCACTCAATCGTAAGTCGTTATAACGTAAAAGAATATAATTGTGAACGCTTGGCTTCTCCTTCTTTGTCTTTTTTTTTTATCGCTTTCGCGAATGAATGTGGATATCGAAAGTCGTTATTCTTACATCATCGATGTTTCTCAAGTACGACACGAGCGGAAGCTGATGGTTTGCACCAAAAGGAGCGGAAATCGCGTAAAATTAGGACCTTTCCCGAGAATTTGTCAAACAATACAAATGTTTAAAATATTTTATAGGACATTATCATTTCTTTGACATTTCTCAGACATTCTCGTGTATTTTAGATGGCTCAATTTCTCTAATATTCAATACACTTTTTAGATGTTCTATTTTTTTAATTTCCTAATTTTTCAGATATCTTTATTTTCTTGAATGTCTCAACCTTTCACAGATATCCTCGGGATTTTTAAGCGTCCTAATTTTTCACATCTACTTTTTGTATTATTCAGATATTTTTCGGACGTGCGGTTCCGCAACCGCAATGACACAACGTCGCGACTTCGAGGTCGGAAATTGCTCTTCCTAGTGCGAACCGCCGCTTCCAGTCTCGTTGGTCGAATAAACGCGTTTTTTTTTTAAATTTTACTCTTCGTGACACAATCCAGCGATTTCCAACTGCACTCAATACATCGCAATTCGCAATAAGTTTTCTCTCGCTGACCGTCACACGCACAATCAGAAACGATAAGAGCTTTAAATAGTGTCGGCTTCCGTTGCGAAGACCGATATTGCAAAAGCGACAAGCGAATTTTCACGTGGTCAGCGAGATAAAATTAGAGCTTTGGAGCGATGCTCTCGAAGACAGCTGGATTTCTTCGCCGGACTCACAGCTAGAGGCCTACTGCTACGTTCATAGAGAGATTTTCCTTTTGTGCTTGATTATATGACGAAAGGGCACATTCACTTGATCACATATCTCTACTGCAGAATTAATCACCGCACCCGAACGACGGAAAAGTCCGAGAAACATTCCTGCCCGATCAATTTCATCAACGCACTGGCTAATTTTGAAAGTAATCTAACTGATTAACGCCTCTCAACGTTAGAAAGAGACAAGATAGCTGCTTAAATTACGATCAAAATTAACGAGTGCTGTGAAATCCTCAAAGAAAACTTGACGAGATCTATAAAGACTGCTTCGGTAGATTAGATAGTCTTTGAATCTGTGAGTGGTCGCGTTAAGAAAACATTTTCTTCAAAAATTCAAACAGCAAATATATATAATTTGTACTATCAGATACCCATTTGTTATTTTCTTCACTATATTCCTTTGCATTCTTATTTCTGCTCACGCTAAAGGGTCAGTGTGTGATCGCTGGGTAAGAAAAACTGGATGATTATGAGAGCACTCACAGGCCAGACATCTCTAATATGTTTCGCGGATGTTTCCCGGACATTTCCGTTGCCCGGACGCTGTCGGCCTCGCTCTCTCCGACTCGTAGGGTTTTTATCCTGATTATAGGGCCGGAAGGGAAGGCTCGTTCGGAGCCGGCGAGCGTAGTCGTTCTACCTTGCTCGTCCCCGAGCGAACGGACAATTATACGAGAGGGTGGGTGTTCCAAGAGGTCTCTTAAGATTATTGCCAACTTTGTACAGTGTCAATGATGTGTGTGTGATGATAATAATAATAATAATCATAATAATAGTAATAGTAATAGTAGTTAATCGTTAGTTAAAGACAAGAACGCAAGGATGCCTGATTTATCGACGCGTCTGCTGGTTTTTTTTTCATTTTTTTTTCTTTTTTTACGCTCTTTTTTCGGCTTTTTATTCAGCATTTAGAGTTTCTTATACGCGAAGAGAAGTTACACAGCGCGCTCGCTCGCAGAAGTGGACGCGAGACGTCGGATATACGTATAGGCAGAAAAACACCGTTGACTTAGAGTTTTCATCAGTAAGTATTCTTGTCGTTAATACAGTATGCTTTTTTTTTTATTATCTTTACGAATCTCATCTATATGAAATACCTACAATAAAAAGTATCCATTATCTCTGTTACTCCTGCACGTGCTACGATTTAGCTCCTGTTTTTCTTCCTTTAGTTTAACATATTTCTCGTTCGCTCTCACTCTCTCGTGCGTACATTCTCTCCCTCTCTTTCTCTCCCTCCCTCTCACTCCCTTTCGCTCCTAATATTTTTTGTTTGTTTCAATAAGTTAAATTTATTAATAATCTCACTTTGCCGCGCATCGCGCGACTCTTATTTTTTTATGTTAAACCGTTTAAGATTCTTCTCCTCCCTCGTCGTTTGACGCCGCATCACCCTTTTCTTTCTATTTCTCTGTTTTTCTTTTTTTTTTGTTCTTTTCTCTTAAAACTCTCGCGAAATTACAATTTACACTTGAAACTGGAATTGACACTCATAAGGTTATTGAAGTAGCCTCTCGTATTTAATAATTGCACCGACATGGCATCTATCCACGTGTTCACGGACACTAGATGAATCTCCTCTTGATTATACGTGCCTATCTTTTGTCCTTTTTTTTTCCCCCTCTTCCTCTTCCGTGCATGTCTAGACATCCGGATATGGATCGCGTATATCCGAAGATCTTACGTAGATCACAATCTTTCTATTCTACTCTACATACAAATGCAATGAAATAGCGTATTCAATGATTAAACGATGTCCCTTCAATTTTTCCCGTCTCCCTCTTTCTTTCTTTGTATTCAAACTCCCGTGATATATGTGTTTTTCGGTTAAGCGTGACGAATAAGTATAATATAATCGAGATTACGGGAATTGTGTGATCGGCTTTGTCGTTCGTTTATGTTTCTCACAATCCGTCCCTCGACACGCTCGCTTTAAACCGTCGCGATGCACTGCCGCTCGGAAAAAGAGCAGTTCTCGCTCTCGGGACAAAGAAACGGAGATTCTCAAGGAAGACTGCGCCAGTTTCCGCAATTAGCTAATGAGATGCTCGCGACGGAAACGCACGCATTACGCGGAAACTTTTCGCGCACTCGCGATTAAATCCGGAGCGGTGTGTCGCCAATACGCGATTCTAACGTGCGACAGAAACGACTCCGGTGCCGTTCGCCATCTTTTTTCAGTCGTCCGGTACATGCTTCCTTGCGTTTTCGATTGACAGTGAGACGACGAAATTGCGAAAAGAAAAGATTCCGAGACTGAAACTAGCGAGATTGAAAAAGATGAAAGCCGTACAGGCTAAAGACAACAAGATAAAACGCATCCGGATGTCCGTCCTCAGTCAGGATCCTCTCAGCGGGAGCGGAACGATCCTGGACGACTGGAGGATGGACGCCAGGATGACAGATCGATTGATAGTAACGAGACGCGACGTTCCCTTACATCTTTAGGCCACATTCGTTTAACGTACAGTCGGCTGTTGTGCACCGATAGACTACAATGTTACTCGTATAGAATCTCTCTCTCTTTATCTAGTGATAAGAAATTGACGACGATAGGTGTTTTTTTTTTTTTTTCAATTCCTACCACGAAGAGTTCGCTATAAAGCTAAAGTTACGAGATCCGAGGCTGCGGAGAACGCGAGGAAGTCCGCGTTGAGGATTTCTGCAAGAGCGGGTGGTTGCGACAGACTCGTCACGACGATCCGTTACGGAAATCGACTTTGATACTCACGCCGCCCGAAAAAGAAATGAAGGCGATCGCATGTAGGACGAGGAGGCTGCGCTAAAAAATTGACGTGTGCCGAACGGTGAGACTGGAAAAGACTGGTATCTTTCGTGTGATGTCACGCGGCACGTTATAATTAGGCGACTCGATGAAGCGCGAAGAGATACAACGCAAAGTTTTGCACAGCCGAAAGAATGAAATCGTGGAGCTTTGAAACAAGAGGACGCACTTTCGCGTCCGCACGATTCTTTTATTTTCTTCGGCGACCGAAAAATTCTTGCTTTTGTTTCTTTTGGATAATGCGAAGCTTCTCAACGACATGTACGAGCGCAGATCTTTTCTCTCTCTCGTTTTTTTTTTGTTTTCAACGAAACCCATTGATCAGCCGGATAATAATTTTATCAGGGGAATAGTGTAGCTATCGACGATCGTCGTAACTCGTGTGACAGAGGGATTATGCGATTAAATCTTAGCCATCTTAGTCGTATTGGATTATAATTAGATAGTAGATCGTAATGTTTGCTCTACCTAAACTAACAATTATTATGTTTTCTGTACAATGCAAGATGTGATCTTAATATTTTCTTAATCATCGTTATTATTATTTTATGTTAATTATTACAGCAACGCGCGCTTCACGCGCGGTGCATAAATCGTTCACCGTTATATCATTTTTCTTTCTCTCTTCTCCTTTTTTTTTTTTTCGTTCAAACATTAACCCATAATCTTCTGTAGAATGTATGTACCTCAACATTCGTAATAATTATAATATACTCAACAAAACATTAACATTAACGCCGCCAGCACTCCGCCCGATACGTTAATCTATCGAGGAGCAATATATAGGCGCTGCCAATAATAATAATTGTTGTTATTAATATTGTTATTCTTTCTCCTCGATCATGCCAACTTCGCTCTATCTATCTATCTATCTATCTAACTAACTAACTAACTATATATATATATATTTTTTTTTAAATATGTATATGTATACATAAGTCCGTGTACATACAATATCGTTCA